CTCAGCGGCCTTCATCGCTGCCTCGGCCGCTTCTCAGATCGTTACAAACGACCACGATAGCCATGCTGATACCTGGTATGATCAGCACGGTGTTGAGCCAGCTAGCGATCCTGCGCTCGTCTCGGGAGAAGCACTGCAGCTTGTCAACAATTTTCTTGACCAGCTGCTTTTCAACTTCCTCTCCAAATCCCAAGCTACTACTCTCGCCAACTTAAGACCTGCTGTTTCGGAGGTGTTAAAACCCAAGCTTGCGAAAGATGCCGTCAACAATGCCGATGAGGAGTTACGTGAATATTTGGGCGACGGTGATGAAGAAGATTATGTACCGCCTACTGGCGACAAAGCGCGTGACTGGGACCTGGAATTGGTTTGGAAGCGTACCCGTCTTAGGTGCATGGTCTACTCTTCCTTAGGCGATATGGAGGAGGAAGACGAGGACCTCTACATGGAACAGGAGAATCTGGAGCTAGGCGCCAACGAGTCTGTCTCCGATGTTATCTCACCAGCTGTTGCAATTTTCCTGACTTCTGTGCTGGAGTATATGGGCGAGCTCACCCTTACTGTCGCGGGACAAGCCGCATACCACAGATTGCGGGCTAAATACCAGAAGGAGATCAATGAAGGGACCCGAAATCCCGCCGAGGTCGCCGACCGCATTGTAGTCGAAGAGCAAGACATGGAGAGGGTGGCTCTCGACCGAACACTCGGGCGATTGTGGAGGGGCTGGAAGAAGCGGATACGGTCACCTGTGATCGATCTAAATGGCCGCCCCTTTTCAAGGGCGTCTAATGGCCATTTAAGACAAGACAGTGTGTTCACTGATTCGCCCGCTTTAAGTCGGGTCCCAACCCGTGATGCAGAAGCTGAGGCACAAGATGAGCCTGTTGATCCAGCTCAAGTCGCGCTTCCTATTGGAAGTAACGATGTGGACGAAATCGAGATCCCTGGTCTGGCTTACAATAGTGATGATGAAGACGAGGAATTGGAGGCAGAGGAGGAAGCTGGAGGGCGCCGACCTAAGAGTTTGTTGATCCTACCCCTGGGAATTATTCAGGGCCTTCCCACGCCAACCTTATCGCAACCTAACACTCCCGACTTTGTTGGTCGCAAGCGTTCGAACTCGCTTCCAACACCCGGCGCATCACCATATCGTGCCGCTGCTAAACGATCGAAGGAGAAGGAGGCTGTGCCTATCGAGGCCAGTGTCGTTGAGGAGCAACAAGAGCCTGTCGAAGGAGCCAAGACGGAGCAAATCAGCAGCGAGAAACCCCGGGATGTTAAGGAGATCGATGGAAGCAAGCCTAAAGACGAGCTTGTTCCGGAGCCAGTGGCTCCCAAGAGCAAGCGGTTGTCAAAGATTATAACAAGCCGCATTCAGTCAAGACAGGACATCGCAGACGAGGATCCGAATTACGAGAAGGCAGAGATCCTGACATCAGCCCGAGTGTCAGTTGCTGGCAGCTCTTCGCCAGCACTGTCCGATACTGGTGGTCCGTTCCCACTAAGGAGATCATCAAGTGTGCACTCAGCGCGCATCATCGATGTAGCTGGTCCTAAGAGCCCCAGCGGGTCGCGCTCACCCTCAGCTGATGCTGCGGATCGTATCCGCCGGGCGAGTCTGACCATACCTCCAAGCAGTGGTCTCTCCAATGGTGTCAGCGCAGTTGATGTGCAGGCTCAGAACTCCCCCGCAACCTCAACTCGCCCAGGTCCGAAAAGTCGGTCTCCAGTCGATGCCATGCGAGGTTCTGTGCCAGCTGCTGCAACAATCTCTGAGTCTGACGAGGAGATGGATCGAAATCGAACCAGAGAGCAGAGACCTCACAAGTATATTGCTTATCAGCCTTCCACACCAACTGTTCCAGAGGCTGCCTCCCCCACCGAGGCCAAACGACCTCAAACTATTGTTGGATCCCCACATCACTCACCTGTTCTTCAACAATCCTCATCCAGTACCAAGGTGGCATCCTCGCGCCCTGAAAGCACCTCTGAAGCCATCACTGAGAAGTCTGCTGAAGTTCTACGAAAGCCGGCGGGCTATTCAAACCGACATGCTGCACGAAATGACAAGGTACCTACTTCTCCCACTCACAGTATTGGCATGGTATCCATAGAGCGATCAAGGACAAGGGAATCGGACGAAGATGGAAGCAACGCGCAGACCCCTCGGCCTATTCACACTTCAGGCTCATCAGCCTCCTCAGGTACAAGTCGACTCAAGGCTGTTCGAACTTCCGAGGACAATGGAAGCCGTTCAGCCATGGCCCGTAACTTTGAGGAGCTGATCCAGAGCAACCAAACCATCACATATACGCTGACGCCTGAGAATATGCGCAACATGGATGTAAGTAGAATATGCATTACCGAAAGAGAACGGAACTAACGACGACGATAGCACAAGCAGTCACTCGACAATTCGGTGTTTAAGGGATCCATGAAGAACGATGATTCTCGTGCTCATAACCGCTCCAGGTCTTCTTCTGCGGCAACCGATATTAAGAGAGCATCTCCCCATCACCGGGTTGGCGACGATAGAATGAAGCCGTTACCCTCTCCTAACCCGAACAGACCACGTATGTCTGCTGCACCAAGAGACGCTCGGGTTCCCAGCGAATCAACTGCGGATTTTGCAGAATTTATCAAATCTACTGGTCCCGCAGGAGACAGCCGTCCTATGCAACTTCGAAATGTGAGCAGCCCAAATACCCCCGGCAAGACCAGCCTCGATAGCCGTCGTGTTTCATCGGCAAGCAATCGGAATCGATATATGCCCCGTGATGCTGTGGTCGAGTCCCGTAGTGGCAGCTCGGATCTAATCGACTTTATCCGACAGGGACCCCCAGGCGCAAATAGCAACCGTATTCCTCACAACATCGCACCCTGGGACACAACCGGTGCCGAAGAGCCAGCAGGTGGTAAGGCCGTCGACGCCAACATTCCCGATATCCGATACAGCCAGGCTTCAACTCATGGCACCGAGTCATCAATGCCTTCGATTCACTCATCTATCAACTCCAACACGGCTCTTTTGAAGAACAAAGGACAGCCTGCTCCGACGAGCAAGATGTTTGATGAAGATGATATGATGCCCAAACGCAAGACTCGACGTGTCAAGGATCCTTACGCCATTGACTTTAGCGACGATGAGGATGACGAGGTCTTGCTTGCAACGCCCAAGCCTCCTGTTAAGAAGGAGGAGAGCTTGGCAGAGTTTCTCATGAACTACGAACCTCCACCGGAGCCTGTGACGACACCCATCTCACAGAAGATACCAAAGAAGAAAGCCAGCGCACCGAGCTTGATTGGGAGATTCACTCGCAAGGAGAGCAATCACTCCAACACTGCACCTGCATCACCTCAAGGCAACGACACTCGATCTCTAAGCAGCCGTGCAGGCTTCAGGAATTATATTCCTATCCAGGTCAACGTCCCATCAGGATATGACAAGTACGGGATGCCTACTGGTGAGAACTCATCTCGCCCTTCACAGCCTGCCTCGTCAGCGTCCTCTGGACGTCGCGTTCCCATGAAGAAGTTTGAGCCTCGAGATGCAGTATCGAACGTTTCACGTACATCGGACTTGGCAGCATTTCTGCGCACTTCGGAGCCTCCGCCACAGCCTGTGATGGCCCCTCCACCTCCCAAGGTAGAGAGCAGCAGTAGTCTATCGAAGATGTTCAGTCGCCGCAAGAAGTAATCAATGACAATGTATGTTGTCTACGCCCACGACCTGATTTATTTTTTTGCCGTCACTTTTTGCGAGAAGAAAAAAACGTTCTAGACGAGGATCTATACGCTCATGAGCTCATGTACTTCTTAATCTTTATTACTGGATGTCGGATTGTGATCTGGGATCTCGGGACATGGGTCCAGAATGTGATTCAAACCGTCCATGGGCGGGTTTTTAGTTTGGCCTTGTCATTTTTTGTCATATGGCATCAGCATGCATCTTGATATGCCTTCTGGATGTCTCAGACAGGGTTTTTCGTATCTTGTTGTCAGTCGAAGCGCAGAAAAGCGACTGCATGGGGTTCTCTGGTGAGGGTGAACGTGTACAAAGAAGATGTATGAGGGTGAACACGCTTCAAGAATAAATTCTTGCGCTTTTGACTCTACGGGGATGTGTCTACACATATATGAAGCATGCATTACACTATCAATCCTCCAGTTTCAAAGTTACAGTCACAATGAGTATCTGTTAACACCAGACGATGATAAAACATGATATGATTATATCGTATCCTAGACCCTCGGAGTGTTTGCTAGCTCCCATATGTATAACCGGAAGACAGCTGAGTCGACTGCTCTAAGCTGACGTTTACGCACATTGTGACATAGGCCGAACGAGGAATACACTGCGACAACCTGGGTGGCAGATAGAGTTGCGATTTCCCTTATTTTGCTTGCCTCATCTTTGCGAGTGGCAGATTTGACCGCGGAAGATGTGTGATTCGAGTCGATCTCGGATCCTAACTGGTCAAGCTCTAGTAGAAATTACTGGCTACTAAGCTACCTGTCACATTGGAATTTACAATGATACGTCAAGTGACAGAATCGGATCTATCTTTGCGGCATTGTCGGACGCAGTCGCCTTGTCAAGGCTGGGGGTTGACTTCAGGCGAACCATCAGACGAGAGGCTGAGGCTCTTCCCCCAATGACCTGTAGAAGGGTTGCATGAAACTGCCATTGGTTGTCCTGGGTCTAGCATATGAGGTTGCGTTGCCTGAGCCTGAGTGTTCACATACACTCATGAAGGAGTGGCCTGCATATGACATGATTGTCTTGAGCTGACTTGATTCTTGGTTGAGAATTCACTGTATCCATGTGCCGTACTGTATCAACCCGTGAGGTTCTATTATTATTGACTATGGTTTCTCATATTTGTAGAAATGCGTTGCTCCAAGACGATCTCTGAAAGGGCTATGGAAGGCCTCAAGGTCACGTAATTGAACTGAGGCCTCATCCACACACACAAATGCACGCACACACGCGCACGAGTTCATCGCCAAGGGCATGGATATGAAAGATCGAAACCATGTGCACTCCCGTTGCCCATACTCATCGTCTGGTAAAGCGAGGGCCGTGATCTGATAAAGTTGGCAGATGGGATGGGATCATCCTTTTGTGGCGATGCAGACTCGCCAAAATCCTGGTTTGATGACCATAGTATGCCTTCCTGTCCGCGACTTGTTTCCGAACGGGCAGAGGTACTAAGATGGCTATTTACACCTTGAGTTTGGGTCGCATAATTCGGAAACCCCTGAAGAACATATTCTGGGTCGAACGAAATGAGGATGATGGGCCTCAATTGTCCGTAGGCCATATGAGTTGGTGAATATACCAATATTCGCTCATCCATAGACCATTCGATCCCTTGAATAGGCTGGACGGGGTTGACAACGCCTTGGAGCCGAGCCAAGTCACTATCGTAGTGGCATGTTTCTTGGTCTCGTGGCCATATACTGACTGACGATTCCCGTTTCTTGGGCTGCACTCTGAGCTGCAACATCGAGTCAGGGCTGTAAGCCTCAGAAACAAGGTCGATGAAAGCACTGCACGATGGGTTGTATGAGCGCACAAAGCATTCTTGGAGGGTGTATGCTTTGGCGTCAGATGGGCCGTCACCAATGTGGATCGTCTCACTTGGTCGCTCTTCAACATGATTCTCGCTACTCCATTCGTCTTCTTCGAGGCTATCCACGGTTGACTCTGGCGGAGTGGGCAGAAAAGGCTCTGGCTGAGGGGCTTCTTCTTGTTTATCAAAGTGAAGCTCCTTTTTGTAGCACGTCCTCTGGCTGCCTGCATTTCCTGGGAACCACTCCTTTCGAGTCTCGACAATGGAGAGATTCCCTGTTTTCTCGTCTTTAGTGAGCTGCAACGAAGTCCAACGCTCGTCTACTGCGCCCTCTGAGTCATGGAGACGCCATAGGTTGCGCATCGGAGGCTTCTCGCACTTCTCATGGATCGCATTGTCCACGGGGAACCTCACAACTTGGTAGAAGTTATTGCGCATTCCATCATCGGCTTCTGTTCTGAAAGTGTTCGAAACACAGTAAAATTGACCGTCGATGATTTCAAAGCAGACGTCGGACCCTATACTCTCCCCGACAAGGTCCCATAGAATCAGCTGCGAATCAGCCCACCTGCGAGTCTGGAGATTGAGGCAATGAATGCTCCATCTGTAGCTGCCATCTGGTGTGGCATGTGATTTTGAACCCCAGAACAGGTAATTCTTGTCATTGCGTACAAATAGCGGGTGTCTTGAACACGGCCTTTGTACGACAACCCATGTGGGAGACTCTCTGAGCTCGAAGATGATGAGCCAACTGCTCGTGGTAGAATCTCGGAGAACTTGAGTGGCAAGACACGATAAGATGCCCTCGGCGTAGTAAAGGGGCTCAAAGGTGTGCGGTCTTTGACCATCAAAGTCTCTTACTGCGAGCTTGAGAAGTAGCGGAACATCGACTATCCTTTCAGACGTGAACCTTTTGTCGATTGTGCTGAGGACACGGAGATGGTTGCTATTAACAGTGTAGCACAAGTGTCCATTGGTATAAATGAAACGATCCGCCATGGCAACTATAGCAACCATCCATGGCTCTGCTGCCTGGACCGCTATTCGCCGCTTAGCAAGCTTACGGAATGACCTTGGAAAGTCCTTGGTAGACTGGGCCTCCTGAGCCTCTGCGGAATACGGTGCCTTCTGAGATGTTTGTCAGCAGGGACTATCTCACCAAGACAAGAGGCTGGGACGAACCAAGAGGGCAAGACGACACATTCGTCTGTCGTAGAGAATGTAGGCCAATGATTTGCAGGACAGAGCCAAGTTGAACACATCTTCAACGTCGAGCAACTCAACAAGAAGAGAAACAATCTCGAGAGGTAGTTTGAGAATGCTCATGGCGATGCTGCGAAGAGAGAGCGAAGAGACAAGATCCTGTTGAGCGGCGTGGGTTCATGTTCACAAGCGTCAAGATATACCGAGCCGTATACAGAATACGACGCTATTCACAGCGCCCTGGTCGTTATTAAGTCCCTCATTACGGGAGAAGAGGGGAGCAGAGCCGCAAGACTCCTTGAGCTCCGAGTCACGATCCACAGCCTCGTCGGGTTCAAGGAGCCTGCCTACCCCTGCCCAAAGGAATGCCAACGAATTCTTGGACGCCCCATGTCTTTGTTCTCAAATTCGATTAGTTAAAAAAAAGAGCAATCATGGCGAGTTGGAAATTCGTGGTTGGTTGGTGTTTGGGTCAAGAGCAAGTTTTGGCAGAGAAGAATGAGGCTCTTTTTTGTTTAGCTGACGATCGCTTAGAAGAGTCTAAGGTCTAAGCTCGCGTGCCACTGTTTTCTTCTTCTCTCCTTTTTTCTTAGTATTCAGGTCAAGGTGACCAAAGCTTGACTCGATGTGCAGGTCCTCGACGTCACGAGGATATCGAGATGGTGTATGCAGAGTCTAAGTTGGGTTACGCAAGTGTCTTCAGAGTCTGTCAATAACGTATAAGAGACAAGGCCACGACAGGTTGATTTGACCCGTCATTGTACTAAGCAATTAGTCTCGCGGCGCAGTCGGACTAAGGTAATCGTCGTACTAACGATGAACATGGTGTAACTCGTTCCAGAAAGTAAATCAAGAGGCTCTGCTGGTGTTGTACGGCGGTTCAACCCTCAGAAGCATACCTTAATCGATATTCTACAGCCTGCCACTCACTTACCTGTTGGGTTTGCCTCACGTAAGGTACCTAGTTTGTATGTACATACTTCAGTCCCGAGCAGTCTTTGGCTTCAGTTCAGCTCAAGGACAACTCTCACGAATATCACGACTTTACCCAGAAGCAGCTGTTTGTGGCGGCGCGATTGGTACTTTACCTAAGGTACCCATTCATCTGCGAAATCAGGCTGTGGTGGTATCTGCTGAGAGTATTGTATTCAGCCAATATTTCAGGATTGGCCAATTGCACGACGTCTTTCATGTTCTTACGTACATGCATGGATGTTTTGAGGGTGTATGTCCCCTGTTGAGATCCCTGAGGGGTCAACCCCGTTTTTGAGCCTCATTCAACCTCGTCACAATCTCATACGCATGATTCAGTCCTTGACAAAAGCGGGCTCTAGCATGCATACATATGTGCAGACCCATGGCTCGCTAATGACCTTTAGAGTATACTTCGCGATGTTTGGAGCAATCAAACCAGGCTGCCTGACATCCAATGGCTAGGTAGATGCTCCCCCCAAGAGGCTGGCGACATGTATCAACGCCGATTATTCATCCAAGCCGTGTCCGTCAAGCCCGACCACCCCAATTGGCTACAACTAGAAGCTACAAAGCCATCGTGCACGTAATGGTTCAAGAAATAGTAGTATTGTATTATCTGCTTCTGTAGACAGCAAAAGCCCTATCCATTAACGCCAGAAATGCCCCATCTTCTTTCTTCCTTGGCCATAGAGGCTCCTTGCATCTCCAGAAACAAAGGGTCATTGCATTTCGTTTCCAGGACATCGAGTAAACACCATGGACTGTTATTTCATCTTCACGGCTCAGCCTCCCGTGCTTCGTCCATGCGCCTCGGCCTTCCTAATATCTACTTTCGACTGATGCTGCTCTCTGAATTATGGATGTCTATTGTAAGCAAGTTTTGATGGGCTGTTTCGTTTTATGTCCAGGTATCGAATAGTGGTAGTCTTATCACGGATTAGATCACCTTCGTGACCGATGCAACGATCACGCTCCTCAGCTGTTGAGCTGGACATAATTGCCTGTTCCCTGTTAGTACCTGATGAGTTCTCGACAACCAACAGCACTCACCTGGAAACTGTCCCTCCTTGCCTTGCAGTCGTCCACTCCACCATTCGTTCTCGTTCTGCGTCCTTGTAACAATCTCGATAACGTCACCAGCTCGGAAACTTAGATCGCCCTCGGCTTGCGCAGCGTAATCGTACAGAGCTGTTACAGTCTCAACTCCCGGGGCGGTGAGGCGCATGGGCTTGGGCTTAGGCTTAGGAGGCGGTGGCTTCTTCTTACCAGCAGCGATAGCTGCCAGGCCTGCATTGGCGCCTGTTGGAGGACTGTACGGCGGAGGAGCGGCACCTTCGTTGGCGGTCGAGGCGGGGCGTTGATAGCCCCCAATTTTGGGGCTCGTCACAGTGCTGCTTGGCGGTTTGGAACCCTCGCCTCCCTGTGTAAGGAGTGCGGGCTGCTTGGGGCCTTCGAGGGCAGGCTTGGCCCCGTATCGCACAGGTCGTGGGCGACCGGTGGTCTTGAAGCGACAGATGGACAGTGCCTCGGCCTGTTCTTGAATGTCGCCGCGCTTCTCATGGAAAGCATCTTCAATGTCGAGCGTGAGATCGAAATAACCGATGTCGCAATTTTGCATCTTCTCGTGGAGTGTGTAGAAGATGTTGAGCTGCATGTAGTAGAACGATTGGAAGAGGGGCTGGATGAATTCACGCTCGAGCTGGAAAAGCTTGGGTAGCTCGTCCTTGAGGAGATCGTTGAAGTAGTTGAAGTCCTGGGTGGCTTGCTCGACATCTCCTTCGGCCTTCCACATTGCCTTTTCGTCCTTGGCAGTGCGCTCTTTCTTGTCCTGCAGCTTCTTGAGTGTTGTGCGGTGTCGGTCGTAGTCTAGTCTCTTGTGTTCACGCTTGAGGGCGGTCTTGCGTATCACCTTGATGACGTCGAGCAACTCGTTAGCGGGACGGATAATCCTAGATTCTATCATTTCCAACTCCGGTGCCAATGTCTCTTGCAGGTCCTTGACTACAGCCTCGTATTCTTCGCAAGCACGGATGCCTTCGGGGTTACCCTCGATCTTCATTGAGTCTGGGTCTGACATGCGACCCGAGATGGGCTTGTAGACTTCGGTCATGGCCTTGCTGAACTCGATCTGATGGGAGAGCATGCCATTGATGGACTCGAAGTACTTTTTGGACTCATCGTGGAGCTTCTTGGTCTCAGTCTCGAGTTCCTGGAAACGACGTTCGGCATCGATGTAGACAGCATCTTTGGTATGCTCGCCAATGTTGAATTTGGACTTGAACTGTTGCGGAGCCTAAGAGCAAGATACGTATTAGTTTGAGATCGTGTGTCTCATCATGATGGCGTGTCTCGACTCTTCAGCCGCGCGCAAAGGGCGTTTTGTGCGCGCGAGACATGCTGGCTGGAATTCCAAGCACCATCAAGTGAGGGGCACGGCTTACCCGAGTGAGGCTCTTCTGGAAGCCTTTGAAGCTCATGGCGAGAGCGCGGCGATAGTTGTTAGATTAATCTAGTGATGCCAGTAGTAAAGTCGGTGTTGGGTGGGAGAAGACTGAGTGAGTATCGCGAAAACCCTCAGATCGCGAGGCCGCCAAAAGTTAGACGAGAGGGTAACTTATGAAGCTCTCGATTATGACAGGGCAGGACAGCCCAGAACATGACTGAGTGAGTCGTGGAACGGTGACGTCCACTTGTGTGGCTGTGTTTTAGTTTAGCTCCCAGGTTTAAGTTCCCTCACTGGACCTTTTTTGCTGCCCAGCCCGTCCTTTGCCTTGCTGCCAAGCCTGCCGGTTTCCGATGCTGTGGCTATTCAGAGGTTGAAGAAATAATAGGGGCACATGGGAGGGAGGAACTGAGATGACACTGGCGGCAGTTCAGGGACTACCGGTATTCAGTACATAGGTAGTATGAGACTGACAGGGAAGATAGCTACGGAGTATATCAAAGTATTTAGCTAAATGTGAGCTCGATTCCCTGATAATGTGGTTTGTCTTGAACCATATGCCTTTTTTCAGCACCGAGTTGACCGGAACAGTCTTTTACCTTGGTACTCAGGGCCCGGGCTTTAGAGGAGTGACCTTGGGGATTATAGCCACTGCGTCCACTGCGTCATGGGCGTTGCGTCACTCTTGACAGCTTTCAGGGATCAATGCCACAGGTCAAGTCGTAAAGGCGCTGCACCTGAGCCACAAGCCCTCCATTTCTTTTACATACCTAGGTAGGTAGGTAGGCAGTACTGCAGCTATTGCAGATAGTTAGTTCATCCTTGGGGAACGGGGCAATGTCTGGAGCAAAGAATACTATGTAATATACGCCCGTGCCTATTGGGTTCGGTGAATTGCAGGCTCAACGAAAACTCCGCCTGCACCGCAATAGGAAAACCCAACCCTCCGCATCAGGAACAAGTTCTGGCTGAGCCTGCTGGGGTCCCTCATGTTGAGGCTCTGAACTGAACTGACAGCCTGCATAGATTGCAGATAACACCTGGAAAGGCCCTGCAAAGAACGTCGCATCTCTTACTGTTTCACATCTCGCCACGAAATAATGACTCTTCCATCTTGTCCTCACAAAAACGGTTTCGGCTTCTCCTCCGCCGTGAACCTAAGACCTAAAGAGCGCAACTTCTGCCGCTCCCCGGCTTTTTCAACCAATGGCCGGTGCCGAATCTGCCGGAGGCTTATCACCGAGGGCCCCGAGCCGACAAGCTAATGACAAATCTTGGACCTGGAGCTCAACGCCTCCTCCACCGAAATTCACTTCTTCTCTTCTTCTTCCCACTGGCTTAGCTTGACGTTTCTTCGTCCTTGCAACTGCCAGACATGCAATTCATAATGTCTTCCAATATCGCTTCATGCGCCCTGCGCTCGGCGGGCCGAGTTGGCTTGAGCCCAGCCTCTCGCGTTACAGTAGCTCCCCTGCGAGGTATGGCTCGCGCAGCTGTCGTGGCGAGGCGCACATCACGACGTGGATATGTGTCTGAGACCAAGAGGGATAATGCTCAGGTCGAGACGGCCATCAAGCTCGACAAGAAGGCCTTTGCTGACATCCCTCCACCTGATACTCCCTCCAATGCTAGCGTTAGTCCAATGGCTGGTAAGTGAATCTTGTCCCGCTCTACCTAGTGAGCGAGATTTTTTTCTATATTGAGGCTAATCATCCCAAATAGAAGTCCTGAAGCAAGCAGCAGTTATGGAAGAGGGCCAGCGCCCCATCTACCTCGACATGCAGGCTACAACACCCGTCGATCCTCGAGTTCTCGATGCAATGATGCCATTCTATGTCGGCGTCTATGGCAACCCCCATTCGCGGACACATGCTTATGGATGGGAGAGTGAGAAGGCTGTAGAAGATGCGCGTGAGCACGTCGCCAAGCTTATCGGTGCTGACTCCAAGGAGATCATCTTCACCAGTGGTGCCACCGAGAGTAATAACATGAGTATCAAGGGTGTCGCTCGCTTCTTTGGCCGATCCGGTAAGAAGAAGCACATCATCACAACACAGACTGAGCACAAGTGCGTGCTCGACAGCTGCCGCCATCTCCAAGATGAGGGCTTCGAGGTCACATATCTCCCTGTTCAGAACAACGGTCTCATCCGAATGGAGGACCTGGAGGCCGCTATCCGACCCGAGACTGCTCTCGTCAGCATCATGACTGTCAACAACGAGATTGGCGTGATCCAGCCTATTGAGCAAATCGGCAAGCTGTGCCGATCGAAGAAGATCTTCTTCCATACTGACGCTGCCCAAGCTGTGGGCAAGATTCCTCTCGATGTCAACGCCATGAACATTGACTTGATGTCAATTTCCTCACATAAAATCTATGGTCCCAAGGGTATTGGTGCCTGTTATGTCCGAAGGCGACCTAGGGTCAGACTGGACCCTCTTATTACCGGCGGTGGTCAGGAACGAGGTCTCCGAAGCGGAACTCTCGCTCCCTCCCTTGTTGCCGGCTTTGGCGAGGCTTGTCGCATCGCCAAAGAGGAGATGGCTGTAAGTACTCATGACTTTCTCAAACCTCTCGCTGTACATATGATGAGTTGCTCTACACATGCATGGCTTTCTGAATGGCCCGTGACAAGGCCGGCCGTGTTGATCGAAGCTTCTGTCTGATCTACGCCATCTTTCAATCTTGTCTCATTTCCATACCTACGTACATGAGAGAGATACTGACCGATCTATAGTACGATACCAAGCGCATCAAGTATCTCTCAGATCGCCTGCTGAACGGCCTGTTGTCTATGGAGCACACAACACAGAACGGCGCTGCCGACTCCTTCTACCCCGGTTGCGTCAACGTCTCCTTTGCTTATGTCGAGGGAGAGTCTCTCCTGATGGCTCTTAAGGATATTGCTCTGTCTTCGGGCAGTGCTTGTACCTCGGCCTCACTAGAGCCTAGCTACGTTCTGCGCGCGCTTGGCAACAGTGACGAGAGCGCCCACAGCAGTATCCGATTCGGTATTGGCCGCTTTACCACTGAAGCTGAGATTGACTATGTTCTCAAGGCGGTGCAGGAGCGTGTCACCTTCCTCCGAGAACTGAGCCCTCTGTGGGAGCTCGTCCAGGAGGGTATCGACTTGAATACCATTCAGTGGAGCCAGCACTAAGCAAGCTGTGATGATGATGATTGTCCGTTCACCTAGAGTTCCATGCTCAGTCTTGGTTACTCTGGATGAATCAAGGACGTTAATGACGATGGCCGGCTGAAGCGAGGCTCAGTTGTGTCTGTATAGCATACTGTAATATCAGAGATACCTCTTTCTTTTATATTCTGAGGACGAAAATAGGGAGCAATTGGTCAAGGGGGTAACATTTTATAGGATGGATCAAAGGAAGATAAACAGGCGCCTCTCATTCACATCAAGCACCGGGAACGTGCTTTGCCTGTTGGAAATGAAACAAACAATCGGAGTTGAGTTTGGCTTGAGATCAAGACTAGAGTCGCACAGAATGAGAAACGACCATGCATTATTGCGCATTCCGACCACGTTTTATCTTCTAAAATGGTACCATATGTGACGCAATGTTCCATGAACCTTAGCGTTTGACAAAGTGACAGTTTATACGAGTCTTGCTTGGTGAATGAATGTTGACAATCACATGCGTGGCTAAAAACAGCACTTGTGCACGCTGAAGGAGGGCATATGGCCATTGCTTCGAATCTCGATCTCGACAATCCTGTACAAACAATCGACATCAAGTGATGGGGTGATCCAATATTATTACGTTACTCAACCACTCCGAAACGTGGATCGCGACTTCCTGGCGTTTGTGGATGAGTTCCATCTATGAGGTGGATGTACCTACAGGCTGCTGCCTTCCTTTGTTGACGTCATATCTACCTACCTAAGCTCCTGCCCACCAACAGCTCCTTCCACCTCTACATACGTGCCTGCCAACCTACCTAGGTACCTGCGCGGCGCGTCACTGCAATTGTCGATGGAAATGACATCATTGTGCCACTGCAGTTGCCTTGGTGAGATATCTTCCTTCGTGATGGACTTCCTTCAAATTACTATAAAGTGTTCTCCTCTGCCGCCTCTCGACTCAACTTGATTCCTTCATCAACATCCTTGAAATCCAAACACTATCAAGAACTCCAGCCTACACAAGCACAAACAAACCCACAAATCTTACCAAACCCATCAATCATCAACATGTCTGATACTCCCCAGCCTTCCACTCTCAAGTCCGTCGTCGACTCCGCCTCCGGCGCTGTCCAGAGTGCTATTGGCAGTCTCACTGGAAACACCAGCGACCAGGCCGCTGGCGACCTCAAGAAGCAGAAGGCTGAAGCCGAGCATGATGCGTCCCACGCTACCGCTAAGCTCCCCGGTGCCACCCTCTCTGGCTCCGGTGCCGCCGCTAAAGATGATCCCAACCGCACCGAGGGTTCTTGGAACCAGACCGCTGGCTCCGCTAAGGAGGCTGTTGGTGGAATCATCGGCAGCGAGGTAAGTTGGATAACTCGAGTCATGCTTACTTTACTTACTAATATGATCGATAGTCCCTGAAGAAGGCTGGCCATGAGCAGAATCTCGAGGGTAGAAACCAGGAGGCCAAGGGTCAGCTCAGCGATCTCGGCACTGGCATCAGCAACCGTGTCCAGGGCACTGTTGGTGGCGCCGTCTCCAACCTCACCGGCGACAAGGAGCAAGAGGCTCACTACGACGAGCTTCGTGCTGAGGGCAAGACCCGCCAGCGTGGTGTTGAGCACGACATCCAGAAGAAGGCCGAGGCAGAGAGCCGCGAATAAACCGGCAAATCCAACATGGTACTAGCGCAGGGTGGAAAGCATGAAGTGACGAGAATATGATACCCCAAAGTTGTGGCATGGACGGAGGAGGAAGGTCCCTCTAGATACTCCTAATAAACACCATCAACAATTACTTAAACGTGGCAATTTGTGAACTTTAACAGTCGTGCTTGTTCTGTGATGCCGAAATTGCATCTGCTGTGTGCTTGAACATGCCCCTTGAGGCCAAAAAAAAAAAAAAAAAAACCCTCAGGATCTGGGTCCGAAGCAATGAAAAGACTTGGGTAAAATACCATCAGCCTAGTGTTTTCGTGAAAGAGAACACCCTATCACTTAGGATAGGTCTCAAGCTTTCTTGCATCCCTTCTGTGCAACTCATCCTCACTCCTAAACCCATTACTATTCGAATGCCGAATCCCATCGCTTGTGACAGCCATATGGGCTTGTCAGGTGCAAAAGAACCATTGATATAGTGATGAGTGCAGGACCTCGAAAAACGTGCAGTTTGCAGCCAAGTACACGCACTATCATTGCGAAATTCATGCGCTGTTTCCCAAGAGCTTTGCCTCTGTTTCGACATGATTATGTCATTGTTTTCTGATTTACACAAGCCGGCATGCATTGGCTGATCTACTGTAGACACGAGCAGTAAAGAGCTATCATGGCCCCTCAACACTGAACGTTGGAGGAGACTCCTCACTCGGAGCCATTACTAAGAGTACAAATATTAAATAACGTGTAGACCTGTGCCTTAGTGACTATGAGAAGCTGGAGTAGCAGGAGAAGCACAGGATTTTCTATGCAAGGGTATCTCAGGCCAAAAGAAATTGCCGTAGCTCTGCGTCTTGTGTGCTGGATTCCCATTTCCTCATGCCTTTGCGTCGTGGTAGTATTTCCGTTCATATTTCCATTCACAATTCACGGTGGCACAGAGACGCGCGGTGCCTTGCTGTGGCTGCCTCTGGTCACTTGAGTGGTCGGTAGAATGTTCGAATCTTGATTCTGTATTCTAACAAGTTCCCAGTTCACAACCCTGTGCGGCCGGATACCTCGTTTAACTCACACAAAGACACCTTCAAGCTTGATGAACGGACAGCGAGGAGGCAACCAGGGGCCTGAAGCGTAAGCTTTCTTGTCACCTGATAGATCAAACTTACTGCGGAAGTGACCTGGATGGACGGGATATTGAGGAAGTACAGGTCTGGCTTGGTTCATCAAGAATACATCTAGGGATAGGGAATGTCAGCTCTAGAGCGGGAAATGATATAAAAGGGGTTGGGTTGGCAGGCCCTGGTTCATCTGATGTAGTGAGTTGCACCACAGTAACCATGAGAGTTTTTCCCAAGTAACAACGCCCGCAACTCAAATAAGCACAGTAAACAAACGGGTTCCGAGTCGCACCTAAGAAAATTCTGCTAATGTGCTCTTCAGAAATACAGATGCAACGTCCACGAAAAGGGAGTGTGGAGTCAATGCAAAGGGAGTGGCAGGCAATGGAAGTCTCACAGCGCATGAAGCCAAAAGAGAGTAGGGGAACAACTAGACTAGCCTGGGAAGTGCGTCTTCTAGTGCAAACGACATTTGGTAACTGCTAGAAATATGAGGGATAAAGGCTAAAAAATGCCAGTCCAGCTCAAAAGAAGACTGACATTATGATTCATGAGCTATAGTGATCATCCGTCACAGAGGTATTTGATAGTGTGCCCTCTCTCAGATAGTCCTGACTGGACTCCCAAGAGTATCCGTACAGGCATGTACGAATACTTGGGAGGGGCATGGAACGACTGGTGACAGGATGACTTGCGTGAGCAAAAGGAACGGGCGAATGTACCTCCAGAGTCAGTAAACAGGATAGAAGGAGGAAGATGAAGACAATCTTGGCATCAGTCAGACCAAGAGTGGCGAGTACTTGAACCAAAGGAAAGGTACTTCTGCGATGTCTGCGTAACCTCTCAAAGACCCCTCCTTGGGTCGAAGACAGGCTCGAGAGAAGACCCGCGCTGGCAGGGATCAAGACTGAGGAGAAAGAATCAAAGACCATCTCATCAACATGGAGCCAATCTCAGACTCTTACAGTGTGTCAAACACTTTGTTGCTGATCATCTATTTTGGAGAGAGATGGGCTCAGGTTCAGAGACCCAGCTACATCTGTCCAGCTGCATGTCTCGTCTAAGGTGGGAGAACAAAACCAAGGATTCCCATCCGTCCGGGTAAACATATAGCGTCAAGGAGCATTTCGGAACACGAATGACCAAGTTACAGTAAAAGTACTGGACTGACACCAGAAGAGAGGCCTATCAGAACATCCGCAAGGAGCCACATCATGAGAGTATCACGCCGAGGTTCGACGGCACAGGAACGGTTGACAAGGATGAAGATGGCTTAGACGTTACGATGTAGCCCTCTTGAGCTTCCTCAATACACGGAACCGTAAACCCCTCAACTCAATGGATCACCGTCGAGACCGGGTGACGGAGATTATCATGATGCCGAGTTGAAAAGCAAGTCAAAGTTTGTGGAGGAAGTTGATGTTTCAAGGTGTAGGTATTGGATTGTCGTTGATAAACGTCGGGGCTTAGCTTCATGCACGATTCGTATAGCATACCCTTGTCGCACTTGTCGGCGTGTAAGGGGAGGATCAGTACGTTTAGGGCGATCCAAGCGAGCGATGAGGCTCAAAGATGAAGACTGACGCATTCACTATCTGGGGGTCATGACGGGCGGGCAGAATAGCAGTGGGCTAACCCCTGTCAAATCGCTATACGAATCGTGCATTAGCGTGGTGTCGATGATTGGCCTTTGGGGATTTCTGGGGCAGATGAGCCTGAGGTACCTGACGCTTCGCACAAGACTCTACAGAACAACAAGTACCTCAATTTCCAGGCGCATGGATCGCCTGTCAGACCTCTTATCTGATTGGCTGTGTCCCCTGAGGGAGATTGCTCCGAACGGCCAACTGCAGCGCGCCAATAGCACAACACGTTTTCTTATTCGGATCCCCCATCGCGAGAATTGTAACTGTACAAGTACTTGGGACTGCAAACTGCAACTTTGGGTGTTGTTGGCAACACGCCCCCCTCCACCAACTTTTTTCCCTCTCTCTCTCTCTCCCCATCTCCATTGTTTGGTGTCTTGTTTTGGGTATCCTCCACTTGACTCTCTTCTTTTCCTTCTTGTCGGGATATAGGTGTCATCGCCAAACCTAGCGGATACTTTACTGTCTGTCTGCCAAGGTACCTCCAAATTAGGCATTTTTACTTAATGCCCTAGTTAACGTACCTACCTTAGTCTTTTTCACTCCAAGACACTGTCACCGCCCCCTGTTCCTGTATTTGGGTTTGTTTGCTTTGATTTGCCGTGCCGCCGTCCACAGTTGCATCTCTGGCTTTTCAACCCGCATTCGAGGCGTCCAGTCCAATTGCTTCTTTCTGTTGTCTTGCGCACTGTGGGAAAAAGCACAGTCTTCAGTCTGGGTCATCACAGCCTGATTGACGGCGGTTCAGGCTCTCGGGGACCTGGCTCCAGCTTCTTAGTCTCTTTCTGGGTTCTGCCTCTGTTCAACTGTCCATTATATAAAGGCTCTCTGAGTCCTTCCTTCAAGATGTCTTCAAGATATTCACTACGCCAAACTCCCAGGTTTGTTTGCTCCTCTATTCCTCAACCCCAAGTTCTCTATCATGTTGCTAACTTTGCGCCTCCAGGAAGAAGGAACTCTTCGAGGGCATGGTTGAGACCCCTATTCGTCGCTCACGTTCAAATCGCCGCCAGACGTCCCAACCTCTGTCAGACGTCGAAACCGAGTCAAACTCTGCCGTTGAGACTGTCTCGCGACCTACTCGCCGACGCACCGCTAGGTTCACCGAAGAGCTCGACGAGGATACAGATTCCGACAACATGGGGGCTGTCAACAGAGCCTCCAATGGCAAGACCAATGGCCATGCCAATGGCCTGTCAAACGGTGATGCCACCAATGGCCACGCCACCAACGGTCATACTACATCCAACGATGCTTCTGGTGCTGCACCAATCAATTCGGTCATGGAGAAGACCGAGGGTGTCCCTCAAGACCCCAACGTGGTTGATGGCTGGAGGCCAGGCCAGGATCCCAAGATTGACTACTCTGGAGAATTCGAGTTTGGTGGTTCTTTGGGCACCGCTGCCATGATGGTACTCTTCCCTATACTCATGTGGTATATGTGGATTGGCGCCACTTACTACGATGGCAAGTTCCCCTCCCGTGCCGACGGTCAGTCCCGGGGCGAGTTCGCTGCTCACCTCGTCAATCTGGTCTACACTGGTGCATTCCCCCGCCTCCAGGTCTGGGCCTGGTACTGGTCTTATCTCATCGTTGAGGGTGCCTTCTACTGCCTCCTCCCCGGTGTTTGGGGCTATGGCAAGCCTCTTCCTCATGAGGGAGGCAAGCAGCTTCCCTACTACTGCAGCGCCTACTGGAGTCTTTACACCACTCTTGCTTGCCTTGCCTTGCTGCATTTCTCTGGCATCTGGCCTCTCTACACTGCCATTGATGAGTTCGGTCCTCTTCTGTCTGTTGCTATCCTCAGTGGCTTCCTCGTCAGCTTTGTGGCCTATTTCTCTGCTCTTTGGCGTGGCAAGCAGCACCGCATGACGGGATACCCCATCTACGACTTTTTCATGGGCGCTGAGTTGAACCCCCGGTTGTTTGGTATTCTCGACTTCAAGATGTTCTTCGAGGTTCGCATGCCTTGGTACATCCTGCTCATCCTCAGTCTTGGCGCCGCCGCTCGTCAACATGAGCAGTACGGCTACGTCTCTGGTGAGGTTTGGTTTCTCGTCATGGCTCACTTCCTCTACGCCAACGCCTGTGCCAAGGGAGAGGAGCTCATCATCACCACCTGGGATATGTACTATGAGAAGTGGGGTTTCATGCTCATCTTCTGGAACCTCGCTGGTGTTCCTCTCTCTTACTGCCACTGCACTATCTATCTAGCTAACCACCACCCTGATGTGTACCGCTGGAA